CCCGATAACATCGGAAATGACGTTCTAACATCATTTTAAAATATTCGATATCTAAAGCAGAAAGTGTTAGCTAAAAATAGACTTATTTATAGAACAATCCCCCATTTCTCACCTCAGGGAAAGTCATAAAACAGTTGGGTGCTAATGACTTTGTGAAAGGGAAAAAGTTCTACACTTAGAAACTTCGAAAGAAGGGATTTGGCCTGTACCGTCCGCGGGCCGCATAAACATTGATAGGGGGCCGTATGTGGCCCGCGGGCCGCAGGTTGTGCACCCCTGTTTTAATCTTGAATCTTTCTCAATTGATGTTTTGCCCCATTTTAAAACATACAGTCCTCCTCAGGCCTGCTGAAGCAAAGCCAATGTTTCAGTTAAAGGTTTGCTGGTCTTTAAGAAGCAACATGTTTGTGTGAAACTTTGCTTTAAGTCTTTCATCTTTGCAGAGCAGTAACTGCGTGTGTTCACTTCAATAGCTGTAGATCACTAACTAGTCAGAGTATGTAGTATGATGCACAAGAGGTGTTATGTTATCGAAGTTTGCTACTATGTGGCACTACTTGCTGGAGCTCAATTGCTGCAATGGTTTGCATGTTATGACAAAAGTCCAGTCTTTTTCGAACAGACCTCAAACACTAACAATATAGGATTACCATATTCTGTATTCAAATGTACAGTAAGACCTTGCTTAATGCTGATTCAATATAAAGCAGTCTGCTCGAAGCCTAAAAAAAGGTCAAAATTTACACTTATTTAAATTATCACGGCCTTTCATTGATTCATATATGATACAATTATTTGTGAACACAAACCAATCAGCAAAAGGTGGCAGTTTGTCATAATGCTGTACTTTCCCTAAATCTATGTTTGTTTTGTGCAATTTTGGAAAAAATATAACATCATAGATGCCATAAGAAATATCAACTTTGCTTGTCAAGAATTAACTGATAAATGCATGAACGAAGTGTGGAAGAAGTTATGGCTGAAGGTATCCAAGAATTCTCAATGAGAAGAGCCTATTGCTGTATCATTAGGTTGACCAAACTCAACCTAATCGATATAGCAGGACTAGGATATATTGAGGAGTGACAGCCTTACCAACGACGACCTTTAAGAACTGGCAGAACATGGAATTCATGTGGAACTGGAAAATAGAATTCTGAAAACGAAGAACCCAAAAAAATTTTTCTACAGATTTCCTTAGTAAAAGTTTGGTAAGATAACTGAAATTGTTGATCATATTGTAGCAGATGATCCAGATTTTGAAAGGAGTGCAAAAGTGAAATGAGGAGTTTTGGATGCAATCTTCTACTGACATTTGCTTAAGGAAAGAAAAAAGTGACAAATGAAACTTCACAATTTATCACAAAAAACAAGAATTTCAGAAAAGCCAGGACCTTCATCACAAAAAATGAACTTTACATTTCTGCATGCATACGTTTATGTGTTATTTAACATGTATTATTATACAATTAATATAAAAATAACTTAAAATTAAAGTAAAATTCTCCTATCCCTATTTACTCTATGTTAAAATGGCCTCGTTTAACGTTGTTTTGCTTAGCGCTTTGTTGTCTAGGAATGCATCTCCCACATTAAGCAGGGTCTTACTGTATTTTCTAGATTAGTTTTCAACTTAAGACAAAACCTCAGAAACCTAACCTGTTTGTAAGTAGGGGAGCATGTGTAGAAGATTGATGTTTTACAATGTTACAATAGTGGAGTTGTGTATAAAAAAGTAAAAAATATTACAAATACATATATTAACGTTGATGTTTATATTAAACTGTGTAGTATGTATTGTTTTTTAAAAATCTGAATTTATCTTGTTATTGGCCAGAACATTTAGCAATGTAATAAACAAAATTTGTTTTGATTAGTGTGTACTGTGATGCTATATGTTTCTATAGATTTTGTTTTATAAACTGGTTTTTATTTTTCCCTCTAAATATTTTCTCGGGTATTTTATTTATCAGATTACTAAATAAAGGAATATACAAGAGTTCAGTATTTTATCATAAATTTGTTTAATACAATTTAAAATAAAAAGATGATATTGATGATTTTCATCTGTTTATGAAGTTTGATTTTGATGAAATTATCTTAATTACTAAGGGCCAGATTTATATGCTTTTAAAATTACAGTGTGTGCATGTAAAAATTCCTGAAATATGCATTATGCATATTGAAAAAGCCAGTAATAGACACCAAATTTTTAGGTTGAGATGAATACATACATCTGTCTGCAAGCAAATCTTACTCTGTTATGTCATACTTTTTAGATGGGAGGAGATAAATATGCAACAATAAGTGAGATGGCATGCAGAATTTGAAAATATGACATAACAAAACATATCAGAATGTTTCATGTGGGTGCACAATCAAGTCAGTTACAAATAAAATTACACGTTCAATAAAATTTATAACTATGCTATCTAATATCATTTTTGAATTTATCTGTATATACAGTATTCAATTGTTTACAAGATGTTTGAGTATGACTAGATTAACCTAGTTTCCTTCACTTTATAGTTATGTCACTAGTCTAAAGTAATTGTAAATTTTGTTTTTAGTTCAGTACAAATGACAAGAAATGGGTAAATGCCTTTATGAAGTAATTAACTAATTGAAGATTGAGTGTCAAAGTTGATATTAATGTTTTGTTCTCAACTGATATCATGAACTCTATTATAAAGTTAGTTTCAATGCTACCAGAACTTATCTGTGATTAATTGTTGTTTTGGTGCATTTTCACGCTTGTTGCACTGATGTAAGAATATTATATGCTGAGACACTTGAAATCATTTTTTTAGCAATGCTTTTGTGGCATGCATTACAATAAAGAAACTTTTTGTCTGCTTTAAATGTGTAGAATCCAAACTGTTGTACATACTTTATTAGCAATTTAGCATTTGTTTTTGCTGTTTTGTTCATACTGTTGGTTGAACAAAACTCAATGTAGTGGAATATTTTCTGTATATTCTTCAAATGCAGAAATTTGACCAGATAATCACAAGAAATTATCTCACTTATATTTAATTAAACATCATATTAACATAGTTTTTTGAAAGATTTAAATTTAATGTTTTGAATTAATAAATATAACATTTACAATCATTTTAATTCAATTCAAAGGATTTTGAGAATTTAAAAAATGTTTTCATGGCAACACAAAAACATGTTTATTTGTGGGCCTTTGAAAGAATGTGGATAGTTACAGTTCAAATTTAAAATAGTTGAATTTTGCATGCTCATATGTAATTGGATGGCAGTGATTTTTTCACATACACTATACATGTACAAAAATAAAATTAATTCACAGATAGTGGAAACAGTCTGTAGATCATTTGGAAAAAATATTGGGTTGGCCCATACATCTTTGTGGATTTTGCTGATAGAGTTTTAGATGCTCTGAAAGCAATTATTAGTATTAACCTTGAAAACATCTGATTGACGAGTGACATTTGACTGACACTTGTCAAAAATAAAGCTTGATAATTAGTTTTGTTTTGTATATTTGTCAGTATTCAAAAGATAAGTGAACAAAATGTACATTATCAACACACTATGCTTTATTTTTAAAAAAGGTTAACATGCGGTGTAAACCTTCAAAAAGTGTGGGATATGTACAGTAAAGATGCTGTGAAAGAACATGTGTGCCAGAAATGGTTTGCAAGATTTTTTTCCAGAGATTTTTTCATTCAAGATGCACCATGATCAGGTTGGCCAGTTGAGATCAAATAAAAGAATTAGTCGACAGTAATCCACACCATGCAACACGGGGATTGCAGGTATTATTCAAATATTGAAATCAAGTGTGGAAAATCATCTGCATCAACTTAGATACGTCTTCAAGCTTGATGTTTGGGCTCCATGTGAACTTAGTGAAGCCAATCACATCACTCACATTTCCATCTGCAATTCACTCAAAAAGCATGAGGAAAGTGACCCATTTCTGAAGCAAATGGTGTTGGGGACAAAAATTGGATTGTCTATATCAGTGTTTCTCAACAGGGGCGATATCACCCCCATGTGGGCGTTTTTCCATGTTCAGGCGGCGATTAGTAACAATTTATATTTGGGGGCAAAAACAATTTTCTGGGCAATATAGTAAAGCATTATATTAAGAATAATTAGATATTTTATTTGTTATATTGTACAATAATTAAATAAATAACATTATACTAATCACTAGTCTACTCAATGCAGTGCGGATTTGGCCCTTAGCATCAGAATTTTGAAGTAAAGGGGGCGCTACTACGTAACAGTTTTATTGAAGGGGGCAACGATTCGTTAGAGGTTGAGAAACACTGGTCTATATCAACATCAAGTGCAGAAGATTGTGAGGGAAGTTCTGCAAACTGCCTTAAACCACTTCAGAAACTGAATGTCATCCAAACAAAATCATGCTCTCAGTTTTGTGGGATTGGAAGAGTGTTTTGTTTTATAAGCTGCTTCTGAAAAAGAAAACAATCAATTCTGAAGTATACTGTGGTCAGCTGGACAAGTTAAATTCAGTGACTTAGGAGAAGTATTCAGAATTAGTGAGTTGCAAGGGAATCTTCTACTGCAATAATGCCTGGCTATGTATGTCAAACCCAGCAAAAATTGTTGGAGCTTCACTGGAATGTCATACCTCATTCTCCATATTCATCTGACCTTGCCCCTTCTGATTACTACTTGTTTTGCTTCCTGCAAAATTCTTCAAACGAACAGCACTTACTTTATTTCCAATGACAGTGTAAAATAGCATTTGGAACAGTTTTTCACTGGAAAAACAATAAGTTTTTTGAACAAGGTATTATGAAGCTCTCTGACAGATGGCAAAAGTTAGTCATTATGTTAGTGAATAAAATTTTATTTTCTACAAAAAAAATTGTCTTTTATTTTCACATAAAAGAAAACAGACTTATTGGCCAAACCCAACAGAACTTAGAATTTATTTAGTCCTAAAATCTGTATAGTATACAGTAAAAAATGTAAATGCACATAAATTATACATTATTGGACAACCTTAATTTGATCTACATAGACACAAATGTTTACATCAAGATTTCATCATATCATTTAAAGAAAAAACTTACACATTCATACAAATATAGCCCTTAATAATAATAAAACATTAATGAAAGAATAGCTTTAATTGAACAAAAACTCGTGATTCTAATATAATTCAAAATATTTTTTAGAAATCTTAACTTTTGCTACATCATTACTTTTTCAGAAATTTTTGAAGATTTTAATTTTCATTTGTTATTTCATTCTCATTTGTTATTTTATAAAGAAACATAGACAATAATTTAATAACAATTGATATTTATTTATTTATTATTAATGTTACTAAATTTATTTTAGATGGCAAAGCCAAAAGGAGAGAAGAAGGGAAAGTCAGCTTTAAGTGAAGTTGTTACAAGAGAATATACAATTCATGTTCATAAAAGACTTCATGGCATGTAAGTATAAAAAACTAATTGAAAATCATAATGTTTTTAATTAAATTCAATGATTTATTTTGAATTATAATAGATGTAGTAGAATAAAGCATATTTTCTGTTAATTTAATGAAAATGTTATAAACTTGTAAATATGTTAATTTTTAATGGCTTAAATCCCTTTAAAGGGGTATTCATAATGGGTAGCTTTTTTCTTTTAGAAGAACTGCATTCTATGAAAGTTATGAACCATAAACATGCATTATGACTGAATGCTTTACAATCTATAGTTTATTTTGCTTATATTATTTGATTGGGGGTATTTACAGTCTGTCTTCTTTTTGTATTGTGTTTTGAAGCTTTTTTGAAAATTATGGAAGTCTTGCTTTTTCCATTTTCATTTGCATTAATACAGGTTCAATGGCTTAACAGAAAACTTTCTCAGGACATTGTTTACTGATTATTGAAATTTGCTTGTAGAGAAACCAAAATTGTTTTGTGATTTAAAAGTGACAGAAAAACTTCCGCAAAAAATGATGCCAATCAATAAAGCAATCTGACAAAGGTGAAATAAGGATTGTAAACTGTTCTTTCAGAATTCATATTCACAGTTTATAGCTTTCATAGAATGTAGTTTCTCTAGAAGTGAGAAAATATCTTATTATGACTACCCCCTATAGGTTGTAATTGTTTTTTGAGTAGTAATGAAAAATTCTTTAAAGTGTGAAATCAACAGTTAAATACATTTTTGAAAATAAATCAGAATCGGAACATTATTAACAAATTATCAAATAAATTTTGCAAATAGGCAGAAAGTCACATGATGAAATTCTGAAGCATTTTATCCCAGTTTATTTTTGTGAATTTTTAGATTGTCACATCGCCAGATTTTAAACTTAATTAGAATTAGATTTTAATTAGAATTTGTTAAATGGTCACTGACTTGCTGTCTTATGTTTTACTATTCAATTTAATGTTTTTAACAGGCCTATGATAGTTATTTTAAAATTATATAAATGTTGGGCTCAAAGATTGAAAATGCTCAATGAACAGGAAAGAAACTAGAACATGTGACTTTACAGAAGCAGTCTCAATAAGAAATTTTTATATCATAGCTGTTTATAAAGAGCCACAGTGCATTCTAGCATTTAAAAAAATGCCATGATGCAAAATTTGTGCTTGGACTGCTAAAATACTGATCACCACATGTTTCAGCATTATTGACATACTACAATGTATTGTTGCAGAAACAACATGAGGCATTTTTATCACATGCTTACAACAATCTGCTATATTAATAACCTCATTGAGGAAGACGAGCAGAGTCAATTTAAAGTCAAGTCATTTATCAATTTTGATCTGTTGTCACATCAGTAAACATTTCTAGGCTTTATCAGTTGAGCAAGAATGTCTTACTTGAGTGGCAAGGTAATACAATAGAATATTTAAGAATAAAAGCAATGAACTTGTTTTAACAACAAAGAGTAACATGAGAAATGAAAATAACTAATCAATGTGAATATGATGGAAATGAGTGGATAACTATTTTTATCAGCATAGATGAGATACTACAAAATATTGTATCTTATACTGTACACTCAAATGATGATTATATATTACCCTCACCATTAGAATTTAAAAGAAAACAAAAGATAAGTCTTAAAAAATATTGCATGAGAGTTATGTTAAAAATTATTTTATGATGTGATTATAATGATTTACAACTTTGTAATAATATGGAGATAACTTCAATGATATCTTGAAGTCTTAGTAATCTAAATATGATTTTTTAAATATAATGTTTTGTTTTATGATTGAATTTTAATCTAGTTCCTAACTTTTAGTGGCTTCAAGAAAAGAGCTCCTCGAGCAATTAAAGAAATCAGAAAATTTGCTGAGAAACAAATGGGCACACCTGATGTTCGAATTGACACAAGATTGAATAAATTTGTTTGGTCAAAAGGTGTAAGGTAAGTTTTTAATGTAATATCAGTATTCTACAAATCATCGTACATTTTTAACAAAGCTAGTAAAATTTAACACTTAATGGCATTTAAATCAACAAATGCAACAATATACAAAATTATATCGCTTTAATACCATAAAATTTGAACATATATTAGTACCTTATAAATGGATTAAATTTCAAATAAACTTAATTTTAAAAATTAAGTTTATTTGAAATTTAAAGTTCCTTTTGTTGAAAGTTCCGTTGAAAGTTCCTTTTGTTCCTCATCTTCAGAAACACTAATTTCATCATCTTCATGCACCTGTTGTTCTACTCTACTAATTCTTTAAGATCATCGTTGGAAAAAATTTCTCCAGTTGTAACTTGCAATAACCCTGTTTCATTAACTAGCTTGACAATTTCGTCGACATCAACAATGTGTCAACATCCTTGCTTAGCTCTGGCCACATTCTTCCATGCTCCTTTCAAACATTTCTCAGTCACCTCATTCCAGGAAAGATTGATGTTGTCTACAGCATCCATGATATAGTTTTTCCAGAAATCTTTAATGGATTGTTTATCTGCTCCATCTATTTTATCAATCAGTTGTCGGAATGTCTGCCGCACATAATAAGCTTTAAAATTTGATATTATGCCTTGATCCATTGGTTGGATTAATGAAGTTGTGTTTGGCGGCAGGAAAATCACTTCTACTGGAATGCATGTCGTTAAGTCAGACAAATGCATTGGATGGCTTGGAGCATTATCGATCAAAAGTAGAGCTTTCAGTTCCAGTTTTTTAAATTCACAGTAGTGTTTAACAGACAAAGATGTTCAGTAAACCAATTTTGGAAAATTTTCATAGCAATCCAAGATCTTTTACTGGACTCCCAAATTACTGGTAAAGATGATTTTGAAATCCTTATTACTCTTGGGGTTTTGGAATGATAAACAAGCAATGGTTTTAAAGTCTCCATTAGCGTTACCATCCAGTGTTAAGCAATCTTTTAGCTTTAAATCCTGGTGCTATCTTTTCTTCACTGGATAAAAATGTAAATTTTGGCATTCTCTTCCAGAAAAGGCCCATTTCATCAACATTGAAAACTAATTCAGTAGGATAATTCCCTCATTCAATGATTGCTGGAAATGCTGCAGCTGCTTTTGTGTCTCCACTGCTTCTCCAGTAACCTGTATGTTATGAAGATTGTTTCTGTTTTTAAATTGATTAAACCACTCACGACTAGGTATGAAATTTTCACTCGTCGCCTTTTTCATTCTGAATATGGTTAAAAATTGTTCTCGCTTTTTCCATTATAATTGCTTGACTTAATGGCATATTGTATTCAACTTCATCATCAATCCAGATGGAAAGTCGTTTTTCCAGTTCCTAAAACACATTGCTTCTGGTATGTGTAATTTTTGTTACGGGGGAAGTCGTCGTAGTTGTAGTTGCTGATGATATGATTTTTTCTTTACTTTTTAAAATTGTTCGTATTGTTGAAGTTGACAAATTTAATGCAGTGCCAATATCAGATTGCCATTCACCTGCATTTTAGTTTCCAGCAAAATGCATTTTCTTGTCACTTTACTTTCTTTTTCTTTGCAATCACCCATTTTAAAAACTAAAAAGTGCCGTATTTATCACAATAAAATATATAGAACTTTAAATTTTACAAGTGTTTGAAAGCTTTATGTTCGTTTATGGAATGATAATTTCCTGAAGATGGCCTATAAGAATAGGCTGAAAGCATTTGAACATTAAAGTACAGTAAGCTCAGCAAGTGTTCTGGTATTTGATTGTAAGTAAACCGCTGAGGAAGTGAGGATAAAATAATATGCTTATATCTTTATACACACAATAAAGTTGATGACCGATCTTAAATCAACTGTGACGCAGCAAACATGCATTCAGGGGATCCCAATGCTGCATGCAATCTCAGGGAATTCCAATACTATCTCCTAATACCAAAACAGCATTAAGTTAAGCAGGGTCTTACTGTAGTTTAGTATTATATACCATAAATATTTCGTACGTAAGTAAATATTTAACGAGTTTTAATTTACCAAATTAATAGATTATGAAAAAAACTTTACATCAAGAGAACAATGTTCATAATTCTGCATTGTACTGTACATCACTCTTTTTAAGGACACTTCTTTGATCCTTCATAATATATAAAAGTTTAAAAAATTCTTCAATAACTAGAGATCATTTTATTTGTTGAGAAAAATACATAATTTAATAAATGCCAAATTAAACAATATACAGAAAAATGTTAATCGTTAAAAAATATAATGGTGATTTTGTAGTTTTTAAAGAAAACTATGAATTACTGGAGGATAATTTAAAAGTTTCTTCAAATTTTTGAAGGGGAATAATTATTACACTTTCTAACTTGTTAAACTTGTTATAATATCTAATATGTTGAATTAAAATGCATAAATGTAAGATTAAATTGACAGTTTACATATTAAGAAAGCATTTTTCTGAGGATACAAATAAAAATGTCTTGAATTAATGCCAGTTACAAAAAATGTCCAGAATTAATGCCAGTACTGTATTATATTCAACATACAAAATGTTTGGTTAATGCCATTAATAACTGTTTTTCTATAGATTGTATAAATAAAGTTATCGAGTGTGTGAAAGTCTCTTACGTTTTTCAAGTTTAATAAAAGTAGAGTGTCGGTTATCCGAAAGAATTCCAGTCGGCAAATTTAAATTTTCGCTATTGCTGTGGCACTGCAATTTTTGGCTATATCTTGGGCTACTCCAATATTTTTTTTTTTTGGTTGATGTATCTTTTACCTGGCAGCACTGGCACTTTTGTGTGGTGTTTTTCTGAAGACTGTGTGTTGTGCTGAATCAAACGTTTTTGATACTAGATTAACTTCTAAAGTATAATTTTTTTGGTTTTATATTTTTCAATATATTTATTTTGCTTGTAAAAAATAAAGAAATAATTTTAACGATACAATAGCCACGATTATTATTTTGAAAAGTTTACATTAGGCTTAACATCGACGAAAATTCAACGCAAAGTGACATGCAACGGAGAAAATTTTCAACATGGGATATTTTTTCGTACATAATCAGTTATCCGAAAAATAAGTTATCTGAACAACCCCAGCCCCCAATTGATTTGGATAAACGACGCTCTACTGTAATTAGTTTATTTGAAACTGATTTGTAATGAAATATTTTGTTGAATTATAATGAATGATAATTTTCTTGTGCTATATATTTACATGCTCATTTATTTCTCTATTACAATATCTAAAATGATAAAATACAAAGAAATTTTATGTAAATTTTATCTTAGAAATGTTCCATACCGAGTAAGAGTACGCCTATCAAGAAAAAGGAATGAAGATGAAGACTCTCCTCATAAGTTGTACACACTTGTTACTCATGTTCCTGTAGCAAGCTTTAAAGGTAATAATGATTTGCTCTTATGTTGATATACAATGGGGAACTATTATATTATCAAAAAATAACATGTTTCATTTATATATGCCTACACCTCGTACATTTACTGTACAGTATGTATGCATATAGTGTGTCAGTGAGATGCTATTTAGTTTTTCTGGCCTCATCAGTTAGAAAATAAAAAATAGTTTTTGTGATATTTTTATATATAAAATGAACAAAAATATATTTTTGTTCATTNACAATATAGGATTACCATATTCTGTATTCAAATGTACAGTAAGACCTTGCTTAATGCTGATTCAATATAAAGCAGTCTGCTCGAAGCCTAAAAAAAGGTCAAAATTTACACTTATTTAAATTATCACGGCCTTTCATTGATTCATATATGATACAATTATTTGTGAACACAAACCAATCAGCAAAAGGTGGCAGTTTGTCATAATGCTGTACTTTCCCTAAATCTATGTTTGTTTTGTGCAATTTTGGAAAAAATATAACATCATAGATGCCATAAGAAATATCAACTTTGCTTGTCAAGAATTAACTGATAAATGCATGAACGAAGTGTGGAAGAAGTTATGGCTGAAGGTATCCAAGAATTCTCAATGAGAAGAGCCTATTGCTGTATCATTAGGTTGACCAAACTCAACCTAATCGATATAGCAGGACTAGGATATATTGAGGAGTGACAGCCTTACCAACGACGACCTTTAAGAACTGGCAGAACATGGAATTCATGTGGAACTGGAAAATAGAATTCTGAAAACGAAGAACCCAAAAAAATTTTTCTACAGATTTCCTTAGTAAAAGTTTGGTAAGATAACTGAAATTGTTGATCATATTGTAGCAGATGATCCAGATTTTGAAAGGAGTGCAAAAGTGAAATGAGGAGTTTTGGATGCAATCTTCTACTGACATTTGCTTAAGGAAAGAAAAAAGTGACAAATGAAACTTCACAATTTATCACAAAAAACAAGAATTTCAGAAAAGCCAGGACCTTCATCACAAAAAATGAACTTTACATTTCTGCATGCATACGTTTATGTGTTATTTAACATGTATTATTATACAATTAATATAAAAATAACTTAAAATTAAAGTAAAATTCTCCTATCCCTATTTACTCTATGTTAAAATGGCCTCGTTTAACGTTGTTTTGCTTAGCGCTTTGTTGTCTAGGAATGCATCTCCCACATTAAGCAGGGTCTTACTGTATTTTCTAGATTAGTTTTCAACTTAAGACAAAACCTCAGAAACCTAACCTGTTTGTAAGTAGGGGAGCATGTGTAGAAGATTGATGTTTTACAATGTTACAATAGTGGAGTTGTGTATAAAAAAGTAAAAAATATTACAAATACATATATTAACGTTGATGTTTATATTAAACTGTGTAGTATGTATTGTTTTTTAAAAATCTGAATTTATCTTGTTATTGGCCAGAACATTTAGCAATGTAATAAACAAAATTTGTTTTGATTAGTGTGTACTGTGATGCTATATGTTTCTATAGATTTTGTTTTATAAACTGGTTTTTATTTTTCCCTCTAAATATTTTCTCGGGTATTTTATTTATCAGATTACTAAATAAAGGAATATACAAGAGTTCAGTATTTTATCATAAATTTGTTTAATACAATTTAAAATAAAAAGATGATATTGATGATTTTCATCTGTTTATGAAGTTTGATTTTGATGAAATTATCTTAATTACTAAGGGCCAGATTTATATGCTTTTAAAATTACAGTGTGTGCATGTAAAAATTCCTGAAATATGCATTATGCATATTGAAAAAGCCAGTGATAGACACCAAATTTTTAGGTTGAGATGAATACATACATCTGTCTGCAAGCAAATCTTACTCTGTTATGTCATACTTTTTAGATGGGAGGAGATAAATATGCAACAATAAGTGAGATGGCATGCAGAATTTGAAAATATGACATAACAAAACATATCAGAATGTTTCATGTGGGTGCACAATCAAGTCAGTTACAAATAAAATTACACGTTCAATAAAATTTATAACTATGCTATCTAATATCATTTTTGAATTTATCTGTATATACAGTATTCAATTGTTTACAAGATGTTTGAGTATGACTAGATTAACCTAGTTTCCTTCACTTTATAGTTATGTCACTAGTCTAAAGTAATTGTAAATTTTGTTTTTAGTTCAGTACAAATGACAAGAAATGGGTAAATGCCTTTATGAAGTAATTAACTAATTGAAGATTGAGTGTCAAAGTTGATATTAATGTTTTGTTCTCAACTGATATCATGAACTCTATTATAAAGTTAGTTTCAATGCTACCAGAACTTATCTGTGATTAATTGTTGTTTTGGTGCATTTTCACGCTTGTTGCACTGATGTAAGAATATTATATGCTGAGACACTTGAAATCATTTTTTTAGCAATGCTTTTGTGGCATGCATTACAATAAAGAAACTTTTTGTCTGCTTTAAATGTGTAGAATCCAAACTGTTGTACATACTTTATTAGCAATTTAGCATTTGTTTTTGCTGTTTTGTTCATACTGTTGGTTGAACAAAACTCAATGTAGTGGAATATTTTCTGTATATTCTTCAAATGCAGAAATTTGACCAGATAATCACAAGAAATTATCTCACTTATATTTAATTAAACATCATATTAACATAGTTTTTTGAAAGATTTAAATTTAATGTTTTGAATTAATAAATATAACATTTACAATCATTTTAATTCAATTCAAAGGATTTTGAGAATTTAAAAAATGTTTTCATGGCAACACAAAAACATGTTTATTTGTGGGCCTTTGAAAGAATGTGGATAGTTACAGTTCAAATTTAAAATAGTTGAATTTTGCATGCTCATATGTAATTGGATGGCAGTGATTTTTTCACATACACTATACATGTACAAAAATAAAATTAATTCACAGATAGTGGAAACAGTCTGTAGATCATTTGGAAAAAATATTGGGTTGGCCCATACATCTTTGTGGATTTTGCTGATAGAGTTTTAGATGCTCTGAAAGCAATTATTAGTATTAACCTTGAAAACATCTGATTGACGAGTGACATTTGACTGACACTTGTCAAAAATAAAGCTTGATAATTAGTTTTGTTTTGTATATTTGTCAGTATTCAAAAGATAAGTGAACAAAATGTACATTATCAACACACTATGCTTTATTTTTAAAAAAGGTTAACATGCGGTGTAAACCTTCAAAAAGTGTGGGATATGTACAGTAAAGATGCTGTGAAAGAACATGTGTGCCAGAAATGGTTTGCAAGATTTTTTTCCAGAGATTTTTTCATTCAAGATGCACCATGATCAGGTTGGCCAGTTGAGATCAAATAAAAGAATTAGTCGACAGTAATCCACACCATGCAACACGGGGATTGCAGGTATTATTCAAATATTGAAATCAAGTGTGGAAAATCATCTGCATCAACTTAGATACGTCTTCAAGCTTGATGTTTGGGCTCCATGTGAACTTAGTGAAGCCAATCACATCACTCACATTTCCATCTGCAATTCACTCAAAAAGCATGAGGAAAGTGACCCATTTCTGAAGCAAATGGTGTTGGGGACAAAAATTGGATTGTCTATATCAGTGTTTCTCAACAGGGGCGATATCACCCCCATGTGGGCGTTTTTCCATGTTCAGGGGGCGATTAGTAACAATTTATATTTGGGGGCAAAAACAATTTTCTGGGCAATATAGTAAAGCATTATATTAAGAATAATTAGATATTTTATTTGTTATATTGTACAATAATTAAATAAATAACATTATACTAATCACTAGTCTACTCAATGCAGTGCGGATTTGGCCCTTAGCATCAGAATTTTGAAGTAAAGGGGGCGCTACTACGTAACAGTTTTATTGAAGGGGGCAACGATTCGTTAGAGGTTGAGAAACACTGGTCTATATCAACATCAAGTGCAGAAGATTGTGAGGGAAGTTCTGCAAACTGCCTTAAACCACTTCAGAAACTGAATGTCATCCAAACAAAATCATGCTCTCAGTTTTGTGGGATTGGAAGAGTGTTTTGTTTTATAAGCTGCTTCTGAAAAAGAAAACAATCAATTCTGAAGTATACTGTGGTCAGCTGGACAAGTTAAATTCAGTGACTTAGGAGAAGTATTCAGAATTAGTGAGTTGCAAGGGAATCTTCTACTGCAATAATGCCTGGCTATGTATGTCAAACCCAGCAAAAATTGTTGGAGCTTCACTGGAATGTCATACCTCATTCTCCATATTCATCTGACCTTGCCCCTTCTGATTACTACTTGTTTTGCTTCCTGCAAAATTCTTCAAACGAACAGCACTTACTTTATTTCCAATGACAGTGTAAAATAGCATTTGGAACAGTTTTTCACTGGAAAAACAAGAAGTTTTTTGAACAAGGTATTATGAAGCTCTCTGACAGATGGCAAAAGTTAGTCATTATGTTAGTGAATAAAATTTTATTTTCTACAAAAAAAATTGTCTTTTATTTTCACATAAAAGAAAACAGACTTATTGGCCAAACCCAACAGAACTTAGAATTTATTTAGTCCTAAAATCTGTATAGTATACAGTAAAAAATGTAAATGCACATAAATTATACATTATTGGACAACCTTAATTTGATCTACATAGACACAAATGTTTACATCAAGATTTCATCATATCATTTAAAGAAAAAACTTACACATTCATACAAATATAGCCCTTAATAATAATAAAACATTAATGAAAGAATAGCTTTAATTGAACAAAAACTCGTGATTCTAATATAATTCAAAATATTTTTTAGAAATCTTAACTTTTGCTACATCATTACTTTTTCAGAAATTTTTGAAGATTTTAATTTTCATTTGTTATTTCATTCTCATTTGTTATTTTATAAAGAAACATAGACAATAATTTAATAACAATTGATATTTATTTATTTATTATTAATGTTACTAAATTTATTTTAGATGGCAAAGCCAAAAGGAGAGAAGAAGGGAAAGTCAGCTTTAAGTGAAGTTGTTACAAGAGAATATACAATTCATGTTCATAAAAGACTTCATGGCATGTAAGTATAAAAAACTAATTGAAAATCATAATGTTTTTAATTAAATTCAATGATTTATTTTGAATTATAATAGATGTAGTAGAATAAAGCATATTTTCTGTTAATTTAATGAAAATGTTATAAACTTGTAAATATGTTAATTTTTAATGGCTTAAATCCCTTTAAAGGGGTATTCATAATGGGTAGCTTTTTTCTTTTAGAAGAACTGCATTCTATGAAAGTTATGAACCATAAACATGCATTATGACTGAATGCTTTACAATCTATAGTTTACAACCAACAGACTGCCGAAAATCTATCGGGCTAGTTTTATGCTAATTATTAAATAAATTACGTAATCAATTTGGTACTAGAGGTAAGCGTTAGGCGCCATCTCTTATTAATATTAATAATTATAAATAATTT